GTATCAGCAAAAGGACCTTCACATCTAATGTGTTTCTGCAGCCTATTAGCATTCTTAAAGTCTATTTGTGTGCAAACACATGTGTGCTTATACATTCAGGCTAAATACACACTCATACACACATAATGGCCACTGATGGATAGATGTCCTAGGACGATGTAATGGTACAATAATTATGGTGTCAGCCTGAGCTGACCAACTGATGACAGTGCAGTCCCATCTATGTTGCAGAAATGCAGCAATTAACAAGCAATTTGTCTTGTAGAATGAAGATATTTCAAGTGAAATAATAAGCAGGAAGAGAAGCTGTACAAATGATTCCATCTGCATTCTGCTGACCTAACTGAAGCTTAAAAACAACTCAAAACACATAAAGATAAACATTATTTGTCACAGTGTTAAAAACTGATATTACACTCCAGAAAACAAAACAAAAAAACAAGTGATTTAAAATCCCTTATGAAACAGATGTCTGCGGTGAAGAATATGATTCAATTTTCTGTCACTATATTCTTGCTAAAAGACCGAACGCTCCACTACTTCCACAGGCAGACCTTTTGTTGGTGAGTCATGGATCATTTTATCCATCTTTGTTTGAGAAACAGACCTCAGGATAGGGCTGGGCCATATCATACCGTTCACGGTAATACCGGTATAATGTTGGGCAACGATAAGAAAATGAAATATCGCAATAGAATATGGGTAAAATGCACATGCGCAGTGCCTTTGTTTTCATATGCACATGGCGGAAAAAGCATGGCAGCGACGGAGAATGAGAAGGGCGAAAGTGGACCGTTGAATGAAACAGATGAATCAGAATTGGTTTGTAAAAATGCTGCAACTTCAGTGGTGTGGAACTGGTTTAGCTTTCGTCCGTCAGATACACAACAAAGCACTATTTTTGGTAGAGCATGCTAGCAGGGCGTCGTTATTACAGTGTTTTTTGGAAAATACGGCACACTTAAAATCAATCCTTTGATTTTAAGAAAACCGGCAGTGCCCCTTATACTCCCGTGTGCCTTGTGTATGAATCTGGTTGTGTTTACTGACCTCGAAACGATTTTATGTCGTACACGGCGCTGGAAAATCTGTCAAATGTTTTAGTACGACTTTGCTAAGCTACGAACCCGCACCGCTTGATGGATTGTCGGAGCATTACAGCTATCGTAGGCAGGAGCCTGGCCGAGTGATACGTACTGTGCTTCAACATAATATTACCGTATTGTGTGTGTATAACCTCTTTTCAAGTGTTGTGGATATTCTACATGGTTATGCTGAGGATATGTCGGCCAATTTCCACTGGAAATGCCTTTTGGTTAAACTGTCAGCAAGGAATTTGCATTTGCACCGTTAAATTTTTATATAACTTTAATGCACATAAAAAACAGCTGCTTGTTTAAGTGAAAATCATTGATGTTTTGTTTTTTTGCACTAATACAGTTGTGGAGTTGTAAAGTATTTTGTCTCGTGTCAATTATATCGTCAATTATATCGTTATTGCAAATTTTCAAATGTATATCGTGATAAGTATTTTTGGTCATATCGCCCTGCTCTACCTCAGGAACTCATTCCACTGGCTTTATTTCTTCTCAGTCATCACCAGTGAAGACTTAAAGGACCCTGATGCTTTATATATATTTTGTTGTTTTCTCAGCAGGTCTTTGCAATCAGGGAAGGAAAACAAAAAGAAAAAAAGGACACAGTTCTTTTGTTGCGTTTTTGAACAAACCACCATAAAATAAGCTGCAAGTAAAGTTCTGCTTCATAATTCAACAATGTGGACTATAACATTTACCTCCCCATGCTGATGTCTTCAGTGCGGTGGCTAAAGATTAATCCCACTAAAGAGCCTTGAGGTCAAAGCACTGCAAAGGTCAGTGCTCGAAAATATCAACACATATCTCCACATTGATTTTTTAAATGGTTGCTATGCACTACTTGCTTATTGGCCACAGAAAGTGGCTTCACCACCTGATTTTCCAAGCTATTTTCCAGTTTGGAAACAGAGGAGGCAAAACAGCGGCAGAAAGAAAACTGAAAGACAAGGGGGGAAAAAAGAAACTAAAACAGGCCATAAAGCCAAGTTCACCTAATAAAAGCCCACATTAGATTAGAGATTCCTGCTTTAGGTGCCGGCAGCAAATCAGATAGTTTAAACACCAGGATTGTTGTACTCTTTTAGCGCTCTCAATAGAGGAGTATAGATCACACTTCTCATTAGTGCACCTATCATGGTGTAATTAGTCCCCTTTCCTGAGTCAAAATTGAATTTCCTCTTTGCTTTCCTGACCTTAGTTCATTGAAGCAATAAAGGCCCATATAGCCCCGAAGCCTGTGGGCTTTGTTTCCCGTTTTGCACCACAGCGTGACTCTCCTTGTATCGACCCGCACACAGATCCCAGCCTCACCTGACTCGGTGAACCATGCAAAGAGTACCCACTAATGGAGTGGCATCAATAACAGCAGATACAGACTTACAGACACTAAAAGTGTTTGAGCTGCTCTCGCTCATTCACGCTACACAGAAAAGTAGAACACACTGGTTTCTCAGAAAGCAAAATCCAGTTTGGGCTGGTCTCACAGATCTTCTTTGTATAAGGCATAAACAACAAACCTAGTTGTTTGTGCATAAATGTAATCAAACCAGCATCAAATGGTAAAAATAAAGTTAATAGATGACTTCTGTGTAATGTAATTATGGCCTAATTAAGTTTTACAGCTCCACCAGATTACAGATTTAACAGATTACTCACACATACAAGGACCTCATTATGTTACCACTGATCGATACAGTGGTTAGCTCTAACGCCTCGCAGCAAGCAGGTCCTGGGTTCTACTCCTGACTGGGGCCTTTCTGTGTGGAGTTCGCTTATTTCCCTGTGCCTGAGTGGATTCTCTGAGGTACTCCAACTTCTTCCCACAGTGCAAAGACATGCATGCTAGGTTACCTGTTGTTTTTAAATAAGTCCTAGATGTGCATGTGAGCGTGACTCTGTCTCTGAGTTAGCCCTGACAAGCTGTCAAGGATGGACTGTGCCTCGGCTCCAGCCTTCCCACTCCCCATCCCACCCGTATAAGCCTGAACTGGACAATCAATTAACAAAATGGATGAATATAAGTCCCATTAGCCATAGTGAAATGAATGGTTTCCACTTTCATTAGCTTTTGTATTACGGTGTTATTCATGTGAAACAGCTCCAATATTATCCTTAGCCTCACTCTGTAGTTTTGGAGAGCAGAGAAGCCTTTGATTCACTCCATGTGAAACAGCATTAGGCAAATGACCTAAATAGACCTGAGGCAAAGTTGTGGACTATGTGGATAAAATCAGGCTGGTTGGATGGCAACGATGGGGTGGGGTGGTTAGACGAGTGGTCTGATGTGCCAGTCCTCTGCCCTGCTCAGAGTGTGAGGTGGGATGAAAGGTTTGTGTGCCACAGAAACCCAGCGGCTCTGACAAGGTGGAGTTTTCATCCATTACTAAAGCAAAGAGGCTGTTAAACGGCACGTCACGTCTCCTGATGCTAGCATCCCCGTGGAGGTGTTCTGGCAGAGCTGACCAACAGGGGGAATTAATTCTAGGACATGCACCATGTAAGCCCCATTAATTCACAGCGGCTGCCAAAGGTCCATGTGGAATCCCACACAGTGTGCAGTCCTAAAACTGCTTTAAGTCACGTAATCTGAGCAAAGGAGAATCCCCCAGAATAATAAACAAATACACAGAAAGTTGTTAATTTAAGGTCGGAAGGGAAAACAAAGTTTACGCCTTACAAGTCACAAGTACATCGTTACCCCTGAATTCAGTGTCATGACACAAGCACGTGTTATTGTTACAGAGCTTTAAGTCTGAGCTTTCAGTCAACATAAATCTAAGCTTCCTATGACTTAACACTATGTTACCCCTTTTCCTAAAGACGGGAGAGGGATGCTTCCCATTAGACTGTAGCAAATATTTCTCTGTTTATTTTTCTAATAATTCAGTTACTCTACAGTCTTTCCGGATGTTTCCAGGACAAAGTTCCCTTTAACTACACGTTTCTGCTGCTGTGTCTTTCTTTAATGTGTTTTAGAAATTTAAAACAGGTAAAGATGTAAAAGTGTGACATCTCCAGTATCCCCAGTGAGATGGAACTCTACAGGGAGCAGCCAAATAAAAAACCAACCCTGCTTCCTGTAAATTAGCCAAGTATAGAGATTGAAGCTGTTTTATTTGGCAGACAGTAAACACGTTAATTTCATCCCTACAGTTAATATGGAGCCAGCCTGAAGGTTTTTTTTCAGAAATGTATTTTTTTTTCTGCATAGGAGGTTGTCGTTTGTTTAAACTGGTAATGATGGTAGTTTGAAGCAGGAAACAGGCGATGTCATGAATCTCATGATGCCATATATCTTAGCAGGAATATATTTTGTGGTAATGTAAACAGGATATGTGTGGATATAGATTATAAAAAGCTGTGGTAAGGTTCAGCCATGAGGACTTATTGTCTAGAGCTATATTTCTCTTGTAACTGGCTGCAGTTTTTTGCAGATTTGGGAAAAAGAGAGATGTACGTTCCCACAACTAACTACAAAAACCAAGTTCAGCCCACAATTTTAAATTGACACTCTGCCCAGTCAGCCAGACTGATTAACTGGTAGACTGTAGCACACAAGTGTTTAAGATCCACACTTTAAGCTGAACATCAATAAGTTAGCAACAACCTAAAAGACAAACAAGACTAAATTAGAGAGTTAATTCCCATAATAGACTGTCCTTTAATTTGTTGACTGAAATTAATTCAGAGAAAAATCTCACTGCTTGCCTCCAGCAAAAGTTCAGCAATGGTGCTCACTGCAACATTCTTATTATCAGTGTAGCATGTCTGGTTCTTTGTTGAGAAGTAGAACGAAAAATGCAAGTGAAAGCAAAGAAAACAACATGTTGGCTTTTGCCAGAGCAGCATAAGTAGTTTGATGTGTAAAGGAGCCGTAAATGAACATTAGTGGGATCCACTCACTTGTTTTGGTGCTTTGAGCCCTGCAGATGTGCATGGTACTGTGCCACTGAGTTGAGTGTGACGCTGCAGACTTCACAGGAGTAGCTTCGCTTCAGACCTGGAATCAAACAGAATAGCGCACATTACAGGAACGAATCTGGGAACTGAACAAATGCTTTACTCCAGTGAATTTTTCAAAACTTGATTCAGTAATACAATTTTTGCTCTGCTGCACGTGGCCAATATGAATCAATCCATCACAGTGAGAAGGCATGTCTGCCTTCACGCAGACGGATCTCAGTCCTGCAGCAGATGAGCATTCATGTGACTCTGCACGTTTGCCTTAACAAACTGGTGTTTGCTAAAGAAGACTCCCATAACTGCACTGAAGGAGAAGACTCTTTGTGCAGCAGTCATAGCTCAAAGATCTTTATAGTAAATCCATAGCACCTGAGACCTTGAGATGTCTGAATCATTTGGAATCTACAACATTTAATGAGTTGCCTATTTTTTTTTCTAAATAGCGACAGCAATGCCCTTGAGGTGATAATGGCTGTATTGAATCAGCGCCCTGTTGCTGCAAATTATAAGCATCCTGTGTAATCGCCTTCATGTTGCACTAATCTTATTGTGGTGTGAAAAATGGCCGGCTTGATTTCCTCGCTCTCGCAATTGAGTTAGCTCCTCTATAAATATGCCTCAGAGCAAAAGGCCAAGAGAAAATAAATGCCACCCTGCACTCATTGAATCACATTTCCATATCCTCCTCAATCAAATTTCCTCACTGAATGATTGTTTGTTAAATTGCTGCGGTGAGGAAAGCGCTGCCGAAACTTTGAATGTCTTCTTGTTTTTCTGCTTTCAGGGTTGCGGAAGGTGAAAATCTGCAGTGGGCTTGGTCTCGGGTGTTGATGTCAGCTGTTTCCCTTCTACCATTTTGATGGAGGGCAATATTCCCCACAGAGAGCGGCAAATCCCTCCCTTTCACTTCCCCGCTGATAAGCTGTACAATAACCACTCTGTCAGCTGGTCGCCACCATGACTGAGATTTCAATTTTGCACCATCGTCCCCAGACGCAGTCATGAATCGACATTACATTTCTGCAGCAGGCGGAGAAGCTCTGCCTTGCAGTGCCCCTTTGACAGCCTGCCTCTCAAACTATTTTTGAAAGGGTGAAAGATTATACTGTGACTTCGGTATCCATCATTGGCAGCCACCTGCGGCTCTTCCCACATGGCGCTATGGTGCATGAGCGATGAAGCATCAGAAGCTTTAGGCTTCTGCAATTCCTCCCCTTCATCAACTTTGCTTCCTACTTTCTGAGGCACTGGAGACTCGTTTGTTTTGGTTAACCTGTCCCTTTGCTGAGAAAAACGAGGGTGTGGGGAGCAGCCGATGAGTGGTTGCAGCAGAAGAAAAATGTGCTCTGCAGTCTCATTTGTTTGAGTTAACTTAGGAATTTGGTAACTGTTAAATAAAATAACAGGTTGTGGAGCTGATGCATGCAGAGAAAAAAAACATAGACTGATGTCTTCGATCTTTATTCGATCTCACCGTATAAGAAGTATACCTCTAAAAAAGAAGTTGCCAGGAGGTAAACTACTAAACCCAAAAAGGTTAAAAAAAGATGTTTTAGTGGGTGTAATGAGATTCATATCAGCTGCCTATTTAGTTTTAACTTCAGGTCAAATATCCAAAAACATATTTAAGCTAAGAGGAGCTCAGCTCAGTTTTTAGTGTAAAAACAACTCATGAAACGCATGCTGGTCTGTGAAAGCTATGAAGCTGAGAGATTTTTCTGGTATCAAGTAATTGTATGTCAAAAAAATACCCACAGATACAAGCAAAGCCTTAGTAAAACTTTTTAAAAAGCAATTTATACAGAGCACACAACACTACAGATGTAGCACGATGCTAGCATCAGTGTCTAAGGTTACGTCTCAAAGGAGAACACACAACATTTGCAGATATGCATGGGCCATTGACTTGTTTAGCTTGTCCAGTTACTTTCAAGCCTCTATGTATAAAAATGTGTATAACTCACAAACAGTTGATGCAATATTTTTGTCAATTCCACTGAAATAAAGCTTGGATTTTGTACTTTAATTACATTTTTATTTATTTTAAATCCTCTGTCATAGCGTACAGAGAGAAAACTACAAAAATAAAAGTGAGAAGACTATTTGTCCACAAACGTATAGACTAACCGTACGTGCTTGCACCACTCAAACATATTCTGAACCTGGGCAAGATCAATTTGTTTTGCAGTGAATCTTTTGCTTTCTCTTAGCTTATTGAGACCTATTGCCTGAAGCTTTGGAAGAGATACTGTTGGCAGTATGACTGATCAGCAGTGCAACATTCTTTGTCGATTGTTTATAAGCAAAGAAAAAGGTGGTACTGGTCCAGGATTCATGCTAAATTAACCAGCAAGCATCTGCCCCACTCAGATCTGGTAACTTTAGCTCATTCTCTCCCTCACTGTAGCATTGAGCCCAGGCTGAAAGAGCATACACTTAATCACTGTTTCTATGAAATCAATTGGGTGCTAAGTTGCAACTGTGAGATTTAGTATAATGAAAAGCTTTGCAAAACTGACAGAATAAAATCATTACTCAAAAATGTTTTCATCCCACCGAAGCACTGACTGAAAGTTTCTTAAATTGGACGGTTCAAAAATGTGGGGTAAGAAGAGGCGTAATATCTTGAGGAGAACTCGTCCAATCTAGAGTTTTAAATTAGGGTTCAGCATTACACTTTGTTGAAAAGGACCTAGATCAGCTTGGTGTAATTTCCCCGTCTCTGAGCCTGTTGTTAACAGTATAATGGATCTATTTTAGGGTGGGGAATACAAGAGTGGAGAATACAACATACAGCTGAAAGCAACAGCTTGAGAACAGTGACTGCAAGCCTCTGTTGAAAAAGAGCTAAAAAGTGAGAGAATGAGGAGACCACATGCTAAATTATAGCTTCCAGAGAAGCATCCCTGATTAACAGCTGTGATAGTCTGACCCAACACAATTTGTCTGCTGGGTGTTGACAGGCTAGCTAGCCTGTGGTCTAAATTTAGTGGTTTCTGGTTGAGATTTGACAACATCAAAATACACTGAGAGGGACCATTAAGATGGCAAAGACAGAGACGGCCCTTACTTGACCTATGAGAACAAAACTGACAACAGGTTGCAGAAACACATTTATGAATGTTTTTTTGGTTTCATGGCCAGGTTGAAACAATTCTCATCTTGATCATTCATTACTTTTTTAAACGCAATTTTCTTTCTTATTTTCAAGCTTACTGTTATTACGAGTTGTATGCAATACTGAACACTAAGGAAGAGGAAAGGACTGTTTGTCTAGGTGAGGGGTCAGCAACCTTTAAGACCGCCACCCTGATATCGCCTTTGGGCTTTTGGAGCCTTGACCTGACTTTTAAAAAATAATTGGAAAAAAAGCACTATGCTGCTAAAAAATGAAAAATAGATATTTGCAAAATTCTGCCTAAATATGTATTTTACCTGGTTAATGTGTGTGGCGGGGCGTGGTCTGCAGCGCCACTGTAGGGGAGGTGGACGCACCCGAGCGGCGCCCGCAATCACGCCTTGCCGCCTTAACGTCTGTGTGCTATCTATGCTGTTGTGTTGTTGTTGGTATGTGTTGGGTTGTGAGCTGAAAAGCTACAGCCGGCTGTGTGCGTACAGCAACCGTGTGAAAAGTGGTCAATAAAGAGATGCTGAAAAGCATGTTTATGGAAACATCGTCGGGTCTGCTGTGGTACGTTTACAATGGGACTTCTGCTCCTGAACTTTCATCTTTACGCAGGACTGTAAGCTGTCATCTGTGAGGCGTGAGGTGTTTGTTTTTAACATAGTTCACGGTGGAGAACAGCTGCTGATATAATGTGGATCCGAAGATCCATAATTGGCCTACCTGGGGTTGAAAGTCTCGATAAATGCACGGCGTTTCGGTGGTATACCGGCTTTCGCGAGTGTGACGCTTATTTTGAGCGATGAAAAAAATAATAGAATATAATTTTAGAGAAGATGAATTAAAGTCAGTACAAGCAAGACAGAATATGTATGTGAAGGAGAAGGAGACAGGTGGAAAGGTGGATATGCAAACAATAGAGATAGTGAAGGTAGATACATTTAAACATCAACAGTCCAAAGCAGACAGAGAGAGAGAGAAAGAAAGAGAGGTTAGTGAGGTGAAGAAGAGAGTGCAAGCAGGGTGGAGTGGGTGAAGACAATTATCATAGAAGGATAGCTGCAAGACTGAATGGGAAGGTTTACAAGATACTAGTGAAAGTTGGGTGTATGGTTTGTAGACTGTAGCACTACTAAAAAAGATAAAAGGTTAAGACGGAGGATGTGACGTTTGGCATGCACACTGAAGCAGCCAGAAATCGAACCACCAACCTCCGATTATTAGATGACCTGTTCTAGTTTTGCATGATTCACAGTCCAAATTAATCCTCATTTAGCTCATGCTGGTTCTGGTACAGCCCCTCACTTCTTTATTTGTCTGAAACAAGCTGCTTTTGTTCCCTTAACAGCAAATGCCTTCTTATTAAGCACTTTGAATCACATTGTTGTTGAATTGTGCTATACAAATAAACTTGCCTTGCCTTGCCTATTGGCTGCCCCTCAAAACAAAAGATTTTAAGAGTAAATGGGTGGAGCTGTTACAGTCACAGCTGCATACCTAAGATGACCTTGGAGAGGTTAAGCCCTTCTTCTGCCATCATACACACCCAAGAGTAGAAAAATGGCAAAGAACTGAGTTCTATTGGCTCAGAGCAAACACTTCTGTATACACTGAACAGCAGTAATAGAACAAACAATAAAACCAATCATATTAGGTCCTCTTTAATTAAATAATTGTGTGCTGTACTGCTTTACTAAGCACTACCTCTTTAGAATGTAAATGTTATATTATCGCCTACATTTAATATTAACTGTGTTTTAAAGTCACTCTTAGATTTGTCTACAAACTGAGTCTCCAACTGTGCTTAGAAAGAACAATACATCACTGCCCAGAGTACACAGTGGAGTACTTTAGGATTAATCACGTTCTCTTAGTACAGAATTACTCATGCTAAGCTCCATAAACGTTTCTCG